TGGACATCCCCTGAGGGGTCCCAGACTGAGAGAGGACACAGGCTGGGCTGAGAGACCCACCCGAAGTGCACAAATTTTGTGCACCGGGCCTCTAGTAAATATATAAGTACGTATGTCTATATATATTTGTATGTTTAACCTGGAAATGGTATAATTTAATGATATTGATATTATATTAAATTATAGTGGTCCAAGTTGAATTACTGGTACATAAATAAACAGATGAACCAGTAGAGTAAAATTAAAGCTACAAAAGTAGATCCAAATGCATAAGGGAATTAGTATTTGACAGTGAAGAAAGTTGGGCTATTCAAAAAATGGTGTTGGACAACTGCACAGCCACCTGGAGAGCAAACAAAAAATTGTATCCATATCTCACATCATACACCTGATGAATTTGAAATAGATCAAAGAACAAGTACAAATATAAGACTATAAAATGCTTAAAGTAAACGTTGGAGGATGCCTAAAGAAAAAGAAAAAAATACCATGGAGAAAGAAAGCCTTTCTATAACTCAAGGTCCATAAGCCATAAAATAAAAGCTATTAGTCACTTAGTAAACAACAACACACCAACAAAATGAATCACTTGTACATGGAAAACAGAAGTAAAAAATGTCACACTAAAGTAAATATATGCAATTTATATCACACAAAGGAATAATCTCTCTCTAAATAAAGTGATCTTAAAATCAAAAGGTAACATACAGACATCCCATTAGAAAAAATATTTCACATGATCTTACACATATGTGGAATCTAATGAACAAAATAAACAGATGAACAAAATAGTTCCAAGACATAGAAATATGGAACAATCTGTTGAATTTTAGAGGAAAGGCATGGGTTAGTGGGTGTGGGAGAGAAAGGGGCCAACGGTGTGAGGCTAAGGGCATCCCAAGTTAGGTGTGTTTTTTTCTAGTGGTTATATTTCTAACTAGAGGCCTGATGCACAAAATTCGTGCAAGGGTAGGCCTTCGCAGCCCTGGCTGCTGGGGCCATCTTGGCCCCGGCTGCCTCACGGCCCTACCCCCAGCCCGCACCCTCCTTAGCCTGGCGCTGCCCACATCCGCTGCCACACACCCCAGTTCCCCGGTTCCGTGGAGCCCCCCAATCAATTGCCCCGCAGAGGGTGGCCTGGGCCTCTCTCTTTGGGGCGATCACGAAGCCCTCCAATTGATCGCCCCAGTGGCCTGGGCCTCCTTCTGCGGGGTGATCATGGGGTGATGGTGGGCCCCCCAACCAATCACATCACACCCACCTTGGCTGGCCTGGTGCCAGTATGTGTCATAGCATGGTCGTCCAGATGGTTGTCCGGACAGTTGCCCGGACGGTTGTTCTGCTGTCCGGTCTTTCGGCTGATTTGCATATTATGCTTTTATTATTATAGATAATAACTTTTTGTTTCATCTTAGGTCTTCAGTTTTTTTATTTCACTTCCCCAATAGGAAGTGCTTAATAAATTTTGAATTGAATGAATAATTATAATCTTTTAAAATTGGAATCTTTTAAAATTAGAATAGATAGCTCTACTTAGGATGACAGTTTGTGGTAAGAGCATCTTGAGAGTGATTTGATCAAATGATTTAACTTAATAATGGTTTCATTTCTAGACCTCACTTCTGATGATGATTATGGGAGAACTGCAGCCTTCTGAGGGTAAAATTAAGCACAGTGGAAGAATTTCATTCTGCTCTCAGTTTTCATGGATCATGCCTGGCACCATTAAAGAAAACATTATCTTTGGTGTTTCTTATGATGAGTATAGATATAGGAGTGTCATCAAAGCATGCCAACTAGAAGAGGTAAGTAATTATGTGAAAAATTTCTGATTATGCATATGAGACCTTCAAACTACCTAAATGACATATATTAGCTCCCTGTTTGATCAGTCAGTCTATATATGTTAATCAAGTTATCACTATAGGTAAAGAACTTTGAGTAAGTCAATTAAGAAAATATGTGAACCTTATTTTTTTTTAATATGTTTTTATTGATTTTTAGAGAGAGGGGAAGGGAGAGGGATAGAGAGATAGAAACATCAATGAGAGAGAGAAACATCATCAATTGGCTGCCTTCTGCACTCCCTTTACTGGGGGTCGAGCCCACAAACCCAGGCATGCACCCTGACCGGAATTGAACCATGACCTCTTGGTTCATGGGTTAACGCTCAACCACTGAGCACACAGGCTGGGCTGAACCTTGTTTTAAGAAACTTACAAAAACATAAAGAAGATATACTTTATTTTTAAAATGATAGACTTGCTTAGTTAGAAAAAAACTCTTTATGAAATGATGAGAATTTTGTTCACTCATTAATGAGAAAATGTCTTCAATTGCATGCTTTTTAAAAAGATATTTCAAAATTATGTAAGAGGATTTTAATAATTTTAATTAAATCATAGTCTAATGGAATGAGCGTTGTCCTGCCTGTAGAGAATTAGAGATAAAATTGTGATTTTATCTTTTGTTTAGCCTTCAACATAATCTCTAGCTAAATGAAGATGATGCTATTGACTCATTTCATAACAATATTGGGGAATGGGCTAAATCTGCATTGAAAGCATTTCAAGTGAAATCAGTATGTGGATCTCGTGCTGTTTGATACACAAATTGTATGATGGAAGCTTCAATAATTATTGATGTAAATGATTACAGAGAATATATATATCATTATGAGGTTTTCAGAATGATAGATGGCATTCGATACTAGTTGATTACTTTGTAGCCATTAATGAAAAAAATTGCAGTGTGAATAAAATAAAACAAAATACAGTGCATGGAAAATAGACCACGGCTAATTGCAGAATAGCTAGAACTGCAATTTTTATAATAGAGGGCTACTTGTTTGTATAAATGGCTCTCTATGTATATAATGATTCACTCAACAGTTTTTAAAAGTCCCATCTCTTATTTTTCATACACTCTGAAAGCATAATGAAAATTAGAGCTCTCCTGAAAAAGTATTGGATTTACTTTGAAGAAGATATTCTTCATTCCTCAAAAGCCCTTCTTCCAGGAGTTGTATTTCACAACCTAGAGGTTGGAACACTCAGTAGATTTATTATAAAAAGTCTGAGTGTTTCTAGGTAACACACATATTTATCTAGGAGGGGACTGGGATGTAGGAGTGGTAGTGCCTTGCCAGATAAATGATGGGACTTTTTTATTTATTAGTGGAAAGGTGTTGGAAGTTTCTGGTAGGCTTATATTTTGCACTGGGCCACTAATATCTCCATAAAATTGTTAAAATAATGAAAGAAAGAGGGTAAGAGGAAGATCATATTATTGATTTTTTTTTCTGATTCCATGGCCAGCATTAAAATTATTTTAAAGTGTATAATTCAGTTTTTTACTATATTCACATGGCTTTACAGCCATCACCACATTTTCTTTTTTTTCTTCATATGGTTGACAGTATTACAGATGTTGTCCAATTCCTGCCCCCCCCCCTTTACCCTCCTCTTCCCAGCCCCTGCCCCACCCTAGGCCTTCACCATACTGTTGTCTTTGACAATTTGTTATACATATGGGTATATAAGTCTTTGGTTAATCTCTTCCTGTCTCCCCACTCACCCCCACACTCCCTGAGATATGTCAATCTATTCCATGCCTTGAGACCTATTTTGCTTGTCATTTTATTATGTTCATTAGGTTCCACTTATAAGTAGAATCATGTGATATTTGTCTGTCTCTGACTGGCTTATTTCATTCAGCATAATATTTTCCAGGTCCATCCCTGCTGTTGCAAAGGGTAAGAAACCCGTGTTCACAGCTGCATACTATTCCATTGTATAAACATACCACAGCTTTTTCATCCACTCATCTACTGTTGGGCACTTGGACTGTTTCCAGATCTTAGCTATTGTAAATAGTGCTGCTATGAACATAGGGGTGCATATCCTTTCTGATTGGTGTTTAGAGCTTCTTAGGATATATTCCTAGAAGTGAGATCACTGGGTCAAACAGTAGTCCCATTGTACATTTTTTGAGTAAATTCCATATTGTTTTCCATAGTGGCTGCACCAACATCATCATATTTCTCAAACCCTTTAAAAGAAACCGTTTGCAATAAATTTTTATTTCTTCTTACCTCCTCCACCCAGCCTTAAGCAATATTCAGTCTCTAAAATTTTTCTGTATTGGATAGTTTACATAAATAGAATCATACAATATAAAGGTCTTTTGTGCTTGGATAAACTTTTAAACTTCAAGAAGATAATATCTTTATTTTGAAAGCATTTACTGAGTCTTGCTGTGTTTTATGAAACTGTAAATAAAACTAGATCCATATACTTCAGAGGTTCATGGGCTAGTAGAGAAAGAGACGTGTCAATAAAGAATGGAATCTAATAGAAAAAGAAAGAGGCATTTCTTTAGGTGCAAAGGAGGAAGTGTGGGAATCATGTCTGCCTAATGTAAAAAGTAACCGCCAGAGGAAGCTCAAGACTAACGCCTTCCAATGGAATGGTTCATTCTGGAATTCCAGTGGTGACAAGGGTAAAAACTATGGCCTCGTAGTCATTTTTTTTTATTAGAGATTCCATTAGAGAGAAGGTTAAGTTGATGGGAAGAATTGGGAGATTGATGAGTAAAATGGTCACTAGATTACTGAGAAAAGAAAATGAAATACATATAAGGTGCCTAATCGAGTATCTAGTGCAAATTAACCATTCAGTGACTAGTAGCTCATTTCTACCATCTTTTTTTCTCCGAGTAATTTTTATTTTAAAATTTTTATTTCTCAATTCTAGTTTACATTCAGTCTTATTTTATATTAGTTTCATGTGTACAACATAGTGATTAGACAATCATATACTTTACAGTGTTCCCCTGATATTTCCAGTACCTATCTGGGACTATACTTGGTTATTACATTATTGACTATATTCCCTATGCTGTACTTTACATCTCTGTGACTATTTTGTAACTGCTATTTATACTTCTTAATCCCTTCACCTTTTTTACCCAGTCCCTTAACCCCCCTCTCCTCTGGCAACCATCAGTCTGTTCTATCTTTTGAGGTGGAGCATACTGCTAGAGAGCATTACATACGTTAATGTGTCTGAGAGTTAGTTCTTGTTATTGATTGACTACAGTGGAAACAAGGTAGAGGTTGGTGTAATTAAGAAGGAGAACCATGAAGCCAAAAAGCCATGAAAAGTCATCAGCATGAATTTTGAAGTTGACAAAAGTAGTTATAAGAGGAAATTATAAAAGTGGTCGTCTATAAATATGGTAGCTGGTCTCGTGACCCAATCAACAAAAGCTGGAGTATTCTGTGGAAGAAAACAGGTGGCCTAAGATCCTGAGGATTTGGAATGTAGGCTTTGGTTCCAAGCTCCAGAACGTGGCAATGGGACAAGGTGATTCCATTTTCTATGTTCCTTTCAGACGCCAAAGCAGTACTTGGTGGTTACCTTCTGCCAGACACTGTTCACTGGTGGGAGCAAGGGGATACAAGGTGAAAACTTTGCTATCCCTTTCCTCAAAGAACTAATAGGCTGGCTAGAGGAGACCATACATAAAGAGACTATCCTATCTAATAAAGAGGTAATATGCAAATTGACCATCACCCCAACACACAAGATGGCCACCTCTATGTGGACACAAGATGGCTGCCACAAGATGGCTGGCAGGAGAGGGCAGTTGTGTGCGATCAGGCCTGAAAGGGAGGGCAGTTGGGAGGGACCAGGCCTAAAAGGGAGGGCAGTTGGGGGCAATCAGGCCTGCAGGGGAGGGAAGTTGGGGGGAACCAGGCCTACAGGGGAGGGCAGTTGGGGGTGAGCAGGCCAGCAGGGGAGAGCAGTTAGGGGTGACCGGGCTGGCAGGGAAGGGCATTTAGGGGCAATTGGGCCAGCAGGGGAGCAGTTAGGCATTGATCAGGCTGGCAGGGGAGCGGTTAGGGGGTGATCAGGCTGGCAGGCAGAAGCAGTTAGGGCCAATCAGGCAGGCAGGCAGGTGATTGGTTGGGAGCCAGCAGTCCTGGATTGTGAGAGGGATGTCCGACTGCCCGTTTAGGCCTGATTCCAGTGGGTTTGGGCCTAAACAGGTAGTGGGACATCCCTCGAGGGGTCTCAGATTGGAGAGGATGCAGGCTGGGCTGTGGGACACCCCCCTCCCCACATGAATTTCATGCACTGGGCCTCTATTTTCAATATAATATCAAAAGTGTTGGGATAGAGGTACTCTCAGGGCAGTATGAAAGCCCGGTTGAGGGCTTTACACATGCTTGGACCATTCAGGGAAGCTTTCTTACAAAAGTGGACAAGTTGAAGGATGAATAAAGATGGAAAAGGAGTTCTGGACAGATGAAATGTGTGAGCAGGAAAACAGAACATAAAGCGATTTGTTCAGTACAGGGAACCACAAGCCTCTTGACCGAACCAGAGTATAACTGGGGACAGTGGTGGGGAAGAAAGAAGCTGGAGGGCCATGTCTTGGGAGCCTTGTACATTGGTCTCAAGAATTTGGTCTTGGAAAGCTTTAATTAGGGGAATAATGCAATCAGCTTTGTATGTGAGCTATATCACTTTGGGTGTGGCATGAGGTGCAGAATTAAGGTGGACATAATTTGAAGCTTTGTGGGATAGCAGAAAGAACATAGATTTTGAAATCTGACAGAACTGGGTTACTAAAGAAAGTTACTTACCTTTGCTGAATACTGAGTTTTGTCCTCTGTAGTATAGGGATAATATTGCCCACTTTGTAGGGTTTTCTGTATGATTCCAGCACATAGAAGGTATTATTATTCTTAGTAGTAGTAGTAGTAGTATTTGCTACTCTGGCTAGAAGGAGGGACATT